GCTGCGCGAGCTCTGCTTTTCACACTTTCTTGACATTGCCGGCCTTCTTGGGCATGGCCTTGACCCTCGGCGGCCTGGGCTGCCGTTTCACCAACGGCCCCTTTGAACCTGACGCCTTCTCCGGCTCCTCCGTCAAGTCCAGGCTGATGCTGCCCTTCGGCATGCCCTTCACCGCCGCGGCCCTCCTCTTTGGCTCTGTGCCCTTCTCTGCGGCCTTCGTGGACCGGTCACAAAAGACATTCTTGCGAAGGCACTGCCGAAAGTCTTTGGCGAATGGGGCACGTAGTTCAGGGGGCTGCGGGATGTGCCGCATTCATGCTGGGAAGTCCAGCTTACTTATGTGCATGTGTCGTCTCCTGATTACTTCCGAACGCCCCATGCCACCTACGAGGAGAAAGATTGTGACCGAGTGCAGCGTTTGGCTTAAGCTCACATGCGTATATGTTTTGCACCCACCTCCAACCCGCTCCCTTTGTGCACTTAAGCACAATGCTTCTGCATTGAAGCACAACGGACACGCATCTGTCAGATAAGTATCGCATATGCGTCTCACACGTAATGGGGGATACTTCAGCAAGGCATACAATGCCTGACTTCGAGATTCCGAGCATACCATGACTAAAAGGAGGGAGTGTGCTTCGGTGTTTTCCGCTTGTGAGTTTAGGACAATCGCGAAGGAAACTAAATTGACAGCACGTCTGAATGCACGATTCGACAAATCGATGTAGAATTTTCAAGATGATCCGGTATGGTTTTTTGGTTGATATGTGAGACGTATGAAGCTGGCACGAAACGTGTAACCGGGTGGGGCACAAAGCCATGCAGCCAGCTCTCGTTTCGCAGATCGTCGTGTGGTACTCAAGATGGTGAATCTTTTCTCAGCCATTCCCATCGTCATGGTTCATGCAAATCCAAAACATCCCAGCATCACGAAAGCATCAACACGGGTTTCGGCAAATGGGCACCATGCTTCCGATGATGTCGGATGCCTTGGGTGGGCATGCCAACAAAGATATTTGCCATCGTGCCGCTCTTGACCCAGGCAGCATCACGATCACATGCTGTTAGCTTAGTACCATCTCGTACCCCATGCGGACAACAAGGCAGGAGGTTATGGCAATCAAAGGTGGGCCTTGTATTTCAAGCCTTGTAGTTCAAGATGAGCTTTTGCCACATCGTGACAAAGTGTGATCCACACCGAGCGAACACGCTAACGATCAGGGCTTCGAGTTGGAAGTTTTCAGCGTTTTAGCAATCCAAGCTTTTGATATTGGTTGATCATGGCTTGTATGTGCCATATTTCCGGTGGTTGTCCCGAGATTGCGGCAGGTCAACGGCATCGCATTCAAACACGGCCTGGCACCCAAACAGTGAATGCGTAACGTATGGTACGGATTGATTCCAACGTCTTCATGGGCTGAATGACTGGGTTGCGTGCCAACCTGCTAGTGCAAGGTCGCTTCTTGTGAGCATCCATCCTCACATTTTTATCGTTACACATGTTCCTGCAAGTATTCTTTCATGGGTGGTGGTTCAACATTTTCTTCCACAAGGGCACATCACACCCCGATTATCTTTCGCGGAGCCCCTGCACCACCAAACCCTTAACTCTACAAGTCCTAAACCACGACAGCGAGACACAAGGGAGCCAGGGAACGTTTGAAAGGCCGGCTTGCAGGTTTTTCGCAGACCGCCAAAGCATTTTCCTCAACTGCCAGCAGAAGTTCCCTGGCAAATCTACTACGGAATTTGAAAGGTTTCCAACAGTTCTGTCATCACTTAGACATGTTCTTGCCAAATCGTGAACGTTTTTGTTTTCAAGCCTTATGGTGGCATTGCAAAGTTCTTGGGTGACACACCTGGGCAATATTGATTGACAACACAGGCCATAATGCCAGAATCCTTTCCCTGATACAGAGACCGTATCCAAAAAGCAACAACATGTGCCAACCCAACAGGTCCTTGTGCGTTTGTCAGCAGGGAGGAGTACGAGTTTTGTTGCTGTGCCGGAGCCTCGGTGATCAGGACTGGCGGACATGCCCAGGCCCCCGTAAAGGACCAAAAGCTCAAACAGAGGCCGCCAATGGGCCCCCAATTGGCTCAAAGGAGGGGTGCCCGGAGCTCAACATGAAGTTCTAGAGAGGCCCTCAGAATCCCCCAGAGGTGCCCCCAACAAGTCTCCAACCGGTCCGCAAACCCACCAGGCCCCTCAAAGGCTCGCGAGAACCAGAAGACTTCATATCGTCAGCAATTGAGTTGACTTCTCGGTTTATCTTTTTGTCGTTTTGTAGTGTTGATTTTGTCTGTTGCAAAACCTTCCTTTGCCGGTGCTGAAATTCATGCCAGGAGGTGCCCGAGAACACAGCCTGCTGGAACCACGAGTCCCACACACAGTGGCAGGTGCCGCTGCATTTGCACTTGTTGAGCCACATCCTGCATGCTGGGAATTTCACCGCATCACGCGGCCGAAGAACTCCTGACTAAGTGCAAAGATATGCCTAATCGTCATCGGAAAATTAAGTAACAGGGCCCGTCTGTCAGGATTGCTGCGAGAACGACTTCAAGGACTGGAGACTTACCACCTTCGTGAACCAAACATCGGAGTCGAACGTCTTGAGCCTGAGGACTAGCAATAGACCTGACGAGCATCTTTTTGAGGCAGTTCTCGTGGTATCTAATATATAGTTGCAGGATGCATCAGCACCCTGAAGTTCGCTTTCTTTGCACATGACGGAGCCATGATCCCACTGGACAAGTTGATTTGCATCCCCGACCATCGAGCTCGGGGAGCCGCAGCACACCGCCCCACACCTCACTCCAAGCCCTCAGCAAATCGGCCGAGTGCAAAGACGGTTCAAATTCTCAAGAGAACAGTCCCGAGACCCTTCAGGAAAAATGCCCACTGGGCTCTCGCGTCTTCCGGCGCCTGCAGCCGCGAACGGAGGTCCTTTGGCTTGTTTTGGGCAGTCAGGCCAAGCCTTGCACATGCCGCATTGCAATAATGTACCAATATCAGGAAATTTTAGCAAAGCTAGGGTGCAAAATTCATGAATGTAGCAATTGAATTCCTTGCAGTCTATAACACCGAAGACAAGTATCAGCCGTGAGGATATCCGCAACATCGGTGATGATGAGGATGATGATGATGATGATGATGATGACGATGATGATGCTGTTGTTGATGTTGACGACGATGAGTCTGATAGTGAGCTATGATCATGGCAACGTAAGTACTGGAACTGAGGTAGACTGTTGAGTGAAGGTGGCAACAGTCTTAACAAGCGTGCGGTCCCGTTGCACAGAGTGAACTCTTCTCCACTACCCGGACAAGAAGAGTGAGGTTCTTGACCAACACAGGCGATGCAGATGGTGACACGGTGCCAGAGATTTGCTGATGACGAAGGGGTCAGTGAAGATTGTGATGTCGACGAAGATGATGGCACGGATAACGGTGATGATGATGATGATGATGATGATGACGATGATGAGGATGATTGTGATGATGATGGTAGTCGATGTTGTTGATGCTGTTGATGACGGCATTGTTGAGGTTGATAGTCACGATGACGACGATGATGATATTGATGGTAATGATGATCACGGTTTGAGGCTTACAGGGGTGATGCAGCGGATAATTATTGCTCACATCATCGGGGCAGCAGTGATACTTGCTAGACACGTGAAGCTGTGGTTGTCGTCGCGCGGTGCCTCTGACGAAGATGATGGGGACAAACGCTGACGTGATTATCCCAGATGTTCGGTAGTGGTCATAGTGGTGATGGCGACGGCGAACCATCGTATGATGATGCTGATCAGCAACAACATGATGATCAATATCATGATGATAAGGATGATTATGGTGATGGTGATGCAGATGTTCGTGAAGGGAACGGGTTCGACAAGGCCGAGAGAGATGGAAGCATTTATTGTTTGTCCTGGTGGTTGCTGTTTGGTAGCGGCTTAGCGAAGGGGACATTACCCCGACACAGGTGAAACAACACAGCAGTTTGAATGATTATGAACATGTTCATGCTTTTGAAAGACTGTGACTGTGACGACAACACTCGTAAGCAAGAGTGAGATTGATGAGAGCACCGATTGCACTGATCAGAGAAGAAACAGGCAGTTCAATGAGAACTGAAGCAGCATGCGACGATCGAAAGACAAGAACAATGGTAGGCATGACCATCGCCAAACATAGACAACGCAGTTCAACATAGGTGACAGCAATAGATTGTGGCTGCGCTTGTTATTTCACATAGCGGTGGTGGGCTGTGGGTGGCAAGTCGAGCTCATGTTTGTTGCATGGCCCTCTCTGGGGCACACGTTGGCTACCTCGCCATCAGCCGAAACCAGCCGCCGTCGGTCGTATCTAACATGCGCGTGCTATGTCACCATGAGGCTTGAAAGCACACGCAGCCAACTTGCGCTGTTGAAAAGTAATTCCTATGTGACAGAGGCAGGCTGGAGTAGAAATCGCACCGCTTGTGATATATCCTAGAAAACACTGAATCCTAAACCCGAGCCTTGAATGATGGCCATTATGGAGCAGGTGGCGCGGGCCGGAATTCAGGATACCTTGGCAGTGTATCAGCGGCTTGAGCGCACTTCAGATTTGTCCTTTTGCTTTTTTTGGTTTGGCACTGTCCGAAGTCCTACATCTAGGGGAGATGTGTGGATAATTTCCTGTCGGTGGACTTTCTTTACCTTGCTTTCTAAGTTACTTTCTTTCGCCGTCCTTTGAGATAAACCTGGAAATGGACCACAGCCAAGCATCCCTATGTTCGACTTGACTTCGAATGGCCCACTTGGGAAGTCCTCGGCACATTGGCACATTGTCAGCCGATCTCGGTGGTCTGAATGGCTGTCACTCACGTGGAACTCACAGATTCGACATAGCACATGGACCTCGGAACGGTGAAGTGTATAGGGTGTGACGATCTTGGCCAAGTTGGGCACTGTGTGTGCGTCTCATCCTTGTACGTAACATGAGGAATCGGACGACTCGAGCTGGTTGACTAGGGAGTCTAGCCTCGGCTTTTGGCAGCTTGGCACCTCGCGTTCGCGAAAGAAGGCATGCCGGCCCGGCCTTCTCGCGGAGGGGTTGGTAGTCTATTCTAAGCTCGTGTCGCCAAGCCTGGGCACTGCACCTTCAAATTCTCGTTGTTGTGCCAGTTCTCGAAAAATCTCGAATTCAGATGGGACACACATTTCCTGTGTGACAGTGTGTTGTGTTGTGGTCGTTGTGTTGTTTTTTCCAAGTCTTCGCTCTCCGTTCTCCCCATCCGATCTTTTCTCTCCTGATCTTGCTTCTGGCATCGGCAAGAGACGTCGAGAGATCGATGTCATCCTGTTTGTGATTATCATTTTTCTAATCAAGAAAGAACGACCCCTTTGCACTTGGTAGTGGTGTAGTAAAGTAAAGCATAGCTACCCGTGTACCTAGACCTAGTGCGCGTAGTCTGTTGCATGTTATGTTTCACAAAGTGAATGCTAATGGTATTTGGCTCAAGGCATGATCAGGAAAAGGTGCGTCTACAAAACCTGATCTATCATCCTGCATAGCTTCATGGCAGCCACTCACTCTGAACGTCATGTGACTTGATGGTCTGATCAGCGCATATGATTCAATGATGAAGCCGCCTGCAGAAGCGGCAAGAGTAGAAAACGACAGGCCCGTGTGGCGGCAAAATCGCCCTTGGTTCTTCCTACATTCACCTTGGAGCAACAAGTTGCCTAACGACTTGGAGCAGGCCACTCCCGTCACTATCTTGATTCGCCTGTGGTTTTAAGTGTGAGTAAGGGCTGGTTCCAAGTCCAGTTGTGACGTTTGTGGCCTCCGTTCGTATCATCGGAGCCCAGGTTCGGCGATTTGCGGACCACGGTTCTGGAGATTGTAAACTGTGAGCATGGCGTGCACTGGGCTACATGGAAGATGCTTCTCGTCTGCGTGGAAAGTGGCTATACTTGGTCGTGCTTTGGGCATGTTTGGCTTCTGGCACTTGCATGCCGTTCGGGCAGGTTCCAAACGTCGGGATTTGGGTGAAAAGGCTATGCACTTCTAATCGATTCGCGTGCCTTCATGGTGTGCTGCCAGTCGAAGCACCAACGTGGCAGGTGCTTTGTGTTGGTTTTGCTGGCCGCAACACATCCTACCCCATCACATTGGGAGCCGACACCCCAGAGCACGTCGAAGCATGAAGCCTTACCCTGTGAAACCAGCCGCGGCCTGTAAAATTTGCAGAAGCATTCCCAGATGAGGCTCTCGCTTTTGCTGCAACAACACGAAGCTGAGACGCTGCACGAGACGGACTGAGCCCAAGACTATGAGGTCGTTTTCTGGAAGTCGTGTTTTTTTGTCCGGATAAGCAGCTAGGGAGAGACCAACTAAATACTCCAGAATTTAAGGCAATGGTGACCTTTGTTCGCCTTGATACTCTGTGTGTGATTCAATAGTGCAGGGTGCGCATCCTGCTGCCGATCATGCAAGAGGAGCTATCAGCAAGACGTGAAAGTCATCAGACAAAAAAACTCTGATGTGATCTGATGTGTAGTCGCTCGCAAGTCGGGGGTTGGAGGGTCTCGACTTCAAAGGCGAAGCTGGATACAAAGTTGACGGCACTGGCCACTGCCATAGCGTCCCGGTGGCATTATTGAACCTGGGCCGTAAAGGTTGAAGGCAACCTCTGATCCTGTCCTGTCGTAAGCGTGGAGCTGGAAAAGGACAAGACAGGTAGAACCAGGTGCACTTCCGAGAGAGTCAGCAACCTAGGTGAGCAATTTCAACCTGAGCTCATTGGGCCGCTCGCCGGATGGCTTGGTCCGCTTGGGTCTAACCGGGTTTTGCAGTCATCAAGTTCTCCGTGTGTTGCCTTGAACAAGATCAACCTTTTCAGGACTGATATTTCTAGAGCAAGGCCTTTTTCAATGCCGTCACAGTCAGACTCGACAACTGCTAGGTGATAGTGGCACACTTGCAGAGCTTTGCAGTCTTGGAACCTAGTTTCACCGAAGCCACTGACAGCGGTCAGAAGCCATAATTTCTGGGTGTCGACGACATATCCGGTTTGCAAGCAAGTAGCAGGTGAGCAGCCCGCGGACACCGAATGTGCATTCTGTGCTTATTTCGGGCACGAGCCTTGCATTGCAACGAAGTTGGTTTACTTCAGAGAGCTCTGAAACATTCAGACAGGCTAGTCTCGTGGATTCAGATCCTCGGGTACTAGAAGGAGGGGCCCTGCAGCTGAGGAGTGGCTGGACACGGTTTCCAGGTTCGGCATCAAAGAGCAGACATGGCTCAAAGATCCCCGTGAGTGGCTTGGCCCGGCCTGTGGCGCTTCGCCATGTTCGGACCTTTTCGAGCAGGGTGCTTTCGGTGACACGAGCTCTCGCAGACTCTATCCTGAACGAGTTTAGACTGGGGTTGTTGTTCTCTCGGGCATTTCCTGGAGGTGTTGAAGATGTAGGGATGCTCCGAACGGATCCTGGCTTCGAAATCGCGGGTGTTGCCATCCAAGGATTCTGTGCGTGCTGGGGTATGTCTCTGCTGCCTTTGTTGTCGCCGTGACGACCGAGGCCTTCCGGACACTCGAGAACGCTCCACACATTACTGACGTACTGGTATCTAGTAGTTGAGAGCCCGAAGGTTCCTTCACTTCCACCCTCCTTATGTTCCTACTGAGGCATCGACCGTGGTTTCGAGATGGACAGTCGTGAGAATTAGGGTGGTCCTTGTTGCAGGTACCCTAGGATCGTTGTTTTTTGTGGGGTGCTTCGCTGTTGAACCAAAAGTTCCGAGGGTGCAAGACAGGTTCGCAGCCTCTTGCCAGATGCATTGAGGCTCTTTGCCGGCAACCAGGACCAGCTTGTTCTTGGATGTTTGTTAAGCATGTAAACGTTAATGCTCATGGCGAGGATCGTGATACTTCTTTTTATTGTGTCCGGTTCGGACTGTCTGCTTCTCTCGTTGCTTGGACTGGTATTCCTTCAGCGAGGGGCTTACGGCTATCTTCAGTCTGTATTGACTCAGTATTTGACCCAAAGAGGGGTCAGACAGGTCAAGAGCAGTCAGCCCATGACAGGGAGTGATCAGAGAACAGCGAATGCTGAGATTGCAGTGCGACCCGATTGTCTTGGAAAGAGACCGGCAGTCGAAATCAGCACCTGGCTTGCAAAAGCGCGTCTCAACAGGACTTGGATGTCTCGTCATCCTCGATTTGGCCGATCAGCTACTGGGATCTCGCTCCCTGACAGTGCGTTGAGGTTGGCTAGGCGCAAATGAGAGCCCGGGAGCTTCAGAGCCCAAGTTGTTTTAAGTCTCCTACGGAGCTCCTGTGCAGACAATTCGTTGGAGGCGAACAGCAACTACCTTTCCGGAGCCTCATAAGGGAGCCAGTTGGAAACAGAAGAGCAGAAGTCAGATACTTCCCCGACTAGGAGCCGCACGTCTCTACTCTGTCCGCGCTCTCTCTAGCAGAATCTAGTACCAAACTCAGCAGGCCCCCCAAGCCCAGAGCTTCAATGCCGCAATTGTTGACCCAGAAGACTGCTTTGATCTTCACGCCCTTGACAGTAGGCTCTGAACCTCGGCCGGGGCCGCCCGCGTAAGATGCGGACACTTGCAGCTGATGCGCGGGCGGGGGCCTGACAGAGCGCTTTCAGACCCTTCAGCATTCCTGATTCCTTCGGGCATCGAGCATGCTCTCTAGGTGGGGGTGCCCAAATTCGTGCAGACTCAGACACACACCCAAGTGGAACCACTTGTGCACTTGTTCTTCGTGGTTTCTCTGTACCCCAAAGCTGTCAGGGGCCTTGCTTGTGCCCGAAAACTTATTCACCTATTCTCGCCCGAAGGCTGTTGCAAAGTTTCCGGAGCTGCTGCTTTATCCAGGCCCGGGTGCAGACATGTTTCGGATTAGCTTGATTTTTGGGGTTGCTGCCCTCCGCCTCCGGCTCCGAGGTTTGGGTTGAAGGGTGGACTTTTCGGGGTGTCGTGCGTATGCTAGACTAGAGACGGTTCAAAACACTCGGAACCCAACACCGATAAAGCTTCCATTATTCGGAGAACTGAGCAACTCCTTCAACTTTCAATTCACAAACCGCCACCGAATTTGATTTCAAGCCTCCCTCTGTCTGTCTCTCTCTCTGTCTCTGTCTGTCTCGCTCTCTCTCACTCTGTCACTC